ACTTTTGTTCAAGGCTATGCTGCGACAAGTGAGCCTTTGCCTCCTTCTTTCACCTTCAACAAGCAATTAAAACGTGAGCTGGGGGAAAAGATTTTTACCTTTCTACTCTTCATGCCTCTTGTAGGAGATTGGCTGGTTTGATCGCGTAGAAAACAGTCCTGGCATCTTAACTGCCCGTCTGGCCACGGAGGTCTCGGCATTGGAGACGGTGACGGGTACACAATTGGGAACTTTGATGGAGGCGTCGAGTTTAATTGTCGCTTCCCTTGTCATCGGTTTCACTTACAGTTGGATCCTCTCTCTCGTCAACCTCTGCTTTGTGCCTCTTTTAATAGTCTTTAGTGCTCTACAGGTACGAATTGACCAAACTTGAGGCTTCTTAACATTTTTTACTTGTGACGTCCCAAGACTTTTGGTTGCCTATCAGAGCGATTGATGCAGAGATCGAATGGGTACGATCAGACAGAAAGGAAAGAGGTAGACGTTTACGACAAGGTTTGAAAGCTCGCCTACTTGGCATAAGTAATGTGGACGCTCAAGAGATCGTCCCAGCTGCCGGTAGCCAAACAAACGCAGTACTACATCAGTGGTCTTCGATTCTAGAAGGACTCAAACCAAAAAGTTGGCACACTGACTTTTGAACGGAAATTATTTTCTCGTTCCATTGCTCAGTGAATAGAGAAACACACGGACTACCGTTTCACTCTACTTTTTCACTACTGGTTTCGCACTTTCAAGGTACAAACAACTTCATGTGCAGGTCTCTGCAAATGCTTCCTCACTTGTCGACAAATAAGGTTTGTGTGGTTTGGACCCACGCAATCCACAAGCCTAGAAGTCTGAGAGACGAACGTTTTAGCTTCGAAGACAATTGCTTTAAGCGGATAATACGAGGAGAGTCCTCCTTCCACATGCCGTGAAACTCCATTCATCCAAGTGAAGGTGGATGTTTCTGCTTCCTCTCCTCCACTGCACATCCTAGTGCTTTGCCAGCTTTCAAGCTGTCATTGTCATTGGATGATTGTGCGAGGATATTTGAGTAGGTGTTGAAGCAAAGAGAGTGAAGGCGAAAAAGCATGTCTTTCAAAGGGGAATGGAGGTGCCTTCTGATGTTTGAGGTTACTGGTGTTTTAGATAAACCAAATGGTGGCCAGTCTGCATCCTCACGAAGTGGAGGGCTCACAGGTGATGCAGGAGGCTCTCACCGCTGAAAGGACGGTGACAAGTTTCGGTTTGGAATCGCACTTCTACACCATCTTCAGTCAGCGTTCTGCGCCTGACTCAGTGTAAGTCTCAGCCCGGCAGTACGGAGGACCGACGGTCATTCTCTGAAAGGGGTTTTTGCAAGAGGGATAAAATTCTCTTTTCTGCTAACCCTCTTCCCACTCCATTCCAATGTCAAGCGAGCAACGAGGTAGCCTTATTGGGCCCCACGATGCCGATGTAGGGAGCACATGATTCTTTCAAGTGGAGCCACAAACTACCATTTAGCAGGAGTGAGTAGTTCGACCATTGAATCACCAGTCCATTGTGCACTTTTCGTAAAAAAAATGCTGATTTTTATGAAACCTGGGCCAATTCGACATCCGTAATTCATTGGGACTGTGCTAAAAACTGTCCTTCCGAGGTGTAAGATGCTTTGTGAACTGAATCCTCATCCTTTAAAGGGCCATTTGCCTCCAGTTTGTGCATTTTAGCCAAAAGTGCAAAGAAAGGCCTTTTTTCACCAGTACCTTACAAATATACAAGAAGTTGGGAGTAAACAGAGGTGAATTGTGAACTTCGTGTGCTCTCACATGCTGCGGCCTTGTGGATCAACTTCCACTCCAACCGTGAGACTTCTCTTCAAGCCCGTCTTTTGTGAGCACAACGGCTCTGCATGTCCACATTAACAAGTGATGCGAATGTCATCAACCGGTGATGTAAACTCAAGGACTCCTTCATTTGATCAAGAAATTTTGCCAGCCTCCTTTAGGCTCTCACCAGCACCTATCAAACCCAACTTTCATTGAAAAGTTAGCCACTAAC